AAATCAAGTTGTGCAACCTAACTGAGGTATCATAACGAATCTCGTAGTCTTTGTTCGTCCGATATTTATTAACGTTGAATAAAACAATATTTTTTATCGTGGTTTGCACAAGAAACTACTCACTGAATGAAGCGTCATTGGGCTTTTTGCAGATAATAATAGGAGCTCTTTAGTGAGTTAATTCCATAAACGTCACATAAAAAAGTAAGCTCCTTCTAGATGCATAATTATATATTTTTTGTTACTAAGATGTTTTTCACCTGACCAACCACTTTAACTGTCAGCATGTTTAGCTCAATATTTAACGTCATTTCATCATAGTAACGCGATTCGTTGAATAACAACTCAATGTTCAAATACTATAGTGCTTACTTACCTTGAGACCTAAAGATTAAGTTTGGCTTCTGAGATGGTGGTGAGTGCAAAATATAATAGGCTAAAAATGTATCCACTGCTCCTTGAATTTCAGTGGCTGTCCAGGTAAGTCAGCCTGTTACGTAAGTATATCGGGACAATTATTTTTAACAGAAAGGTGAATGCCATTCAAAATAATAAATTCATAGTAAGAACGGGTAAGGTATATACAATGTCAGCAATTTAAAATAAATGTGCACTTTTATTACGTACAAGCAAATGTCAATACACTCAAAAGTCACTTTGTCTTCAGGTTCTTTTGCTTCACATTATCTTAAAAAAAGTCTGCCAGTTTTTGCACTGAACTTTGAGGTATATTGTTTCTCAAAAAAGGTGGTTTAAGAATATAATCTACAAACTACTGGTTGAGAAACAAGTGTGGTGTGTGCTACTGATGTCGACAGATATAAGTAGTATGTATGATCAATCGAAAGTTAAATGACTGGAGGCAGAAGGTCAAAGAAAAGAGAGCGAGAACAAAGAATAATTGGTGTGGTGACGAAAGTCAATGGAGTCTGAGATGATTGATTGACATTACGCAAATGAAGTATTTACTGCATGTTTCTCAGATTTTACCAAGATGATCTGTAATTTTGTATTTAAGTATATTCGACTGTCCCTACTTGTGTTTTCGACCACTACACAAGTACTTTGACAGCTACACCATCGCTCCAACCACTCATTAACACTATTTACTACCTATCCGTAAATAAGAAGTCGATTTTATGCTTCAATGTTACCTCACCTATCTATTTGTACTCGGTAAGCAAACTAACTTTTAGGAACTACGGACATTACAATTAAACTTTTCAATACTTATTGTATTTATAGCATCTCTAACAAAAAGTGGTTTTAAACTGCGATTCTAAATGAATTAAACATGAATAGCTCTTGCTCTAGTTGTACGGTTTGAACTGGGTGTAAATCAAACTTAGTTAAAATAGTTGAAAAATGATATGCCCATAACGACCATTCGGAAATCCACTGAACATAAGGCCGAAGGTTAGATTTAATTTGATTAATATAAGAGCATTCGTATTCGCGGCGACTAATTTTTGGTAGTGTTATAAATAAATTTGCTTATTTTAGATTTCAGTCTAACCAAAAATGAACTCATTAGATTTGAGTTCCAATCCATCACTTCGATTTGGTTTCAATATTGTCGAAAGTAATTAACATTCGTACAGTTCATAACTTTAATTTAATCTATAATTTTCCTGAAGAACTCTCCAAATACCGTGGTAAATGATCGAATACAAGGTATCTTTTAGTAGGACTTTCGGTTCCATGTACCAAGTATACTAATTACATAATTCCGCCTGTTACCTCTCGTGGAGGAGCGTAGGCCGCCCACCAGCATTCTCCACCTATCTCTATCTTCGGAAATCCTTTCCAGTTGCGATTCATCTTCATCATATCTGCTTACGATTCCGATGCAATGTATTCCCTTGCCTCCCCTCTCTCCGTTTCCCTGCAGGATTTCAAGTTAGTGTTGCCTCGTTGTGTAGTTCGATGATCGCCTCAATGTATGTCCAATCCACCTCCAACGTCTTTTACTAATTTTCTCTTCAGTTGGAAGCTGGTTTGTCCTCTGTCACAGTAGGTTGTTGCTGATGGTATCTGGTCAACAGACATTAAGTATCTTACGTAAACAATTTTTTATAAATAATTGTACCATTTTGATGATGGTTGTAGTTCTCTGAGTTTCAGCTCCGTACAATATAACTAATTATCTTGACGTTCGTACTGAAGATTATGAGTTTGATATTGATTGACAGTTGTTTGTCAATAACGCTCCCAGGTATGTTAAAAGTTTCCACACCTTCCAGAGCATCTCCATCAATTGTGATTTAGCTGGTGCTCGCTGTGTTATATTTCAGGATCTTCTTGTCTTGTGAATGTCAAGGCCTATTGCTCCAGTGGTTGCTGCTACATTGGCTGTCTTCACTTGCATTTGTTACTGTGTACGGGATAGAAGATTTAAGTGATCCACAAAGTCTAGATTGTTTAGTTGCGTCCTAAATTTCTATGCTTTCCCTCAGATGTGGAGGTCTTCATAATCCAGTCAACCACTAGATGAAAGAGAAAAGGCGAGAGCAAGCAAGCAGCCTTTTCTAACACCGATCTTCACTTACAATGAATCTGTGAGTTGTTCTTCATGCATCACTTTGTAGTGTAGCCGTCGTAAGAATTCCGTATGGTGGTGAAAATCTTGTCAGGCACACCATATTGTCGAAGAGGGTTGCATAACGTCCTCCTGTCGGCGCTTCAAAAACTTTTTCATAGTCAGGAAAGTTGGTGTATAGTGATGATTTCCATCCAATCGATTGTTCAACAACGATCTGTAGTGTCACGATTTGAACTGTGCACGACCGATGCTTACTGAATCCAGCCTGTTGATCTGGAATTAGGGGATTCACTGAGTCTTTCATCTGGTTCAGCAACACTGTTGAGAACGTTTCCTGGTACTGATAGTAGTGTGATACCTCTGAAGTTCCCATACTCGCTCAGATCACCTTTCTTTGGTATCTTGATGCGGTATCCTTCTTTCCGGTCTGTCGGCACTTATTCTTACTTCCGAATCTTTCTGAATAGAAAGTGGACGACCTTTACAGTTGCTCCTATATCTGAATTCAGCTGGTATGTTGTCGTTTCTAGGTATTCCACATATTCCTGCTTGTCGGTTCTAATGCTTCTCTTCACTCTCTTGTTTGCTTCTGTGTATTCAGCTTGTGCCTTGACTTTTTCTGTTCTTGTTCGGTTGTTGTTGATTGCTGTCTTATTGTTCTCCCTTTCTTGAATCCTGCCTTGGGATTCGATAAAGATCCATTCGTTATGATGATAATCTTTGCGGTCAAGAACCTCATGATACGTTGAAGTTAGTGCTTCTATGATGCCTTTCCAGTTGTCCTCTATAGTAGTTTCTTCCTCTTTGAGTAGATCTTGTAAGGCATGAAACCTGTTGTTGAGAGCTATCTTGAACTCGTTAAGTTTGTCATCTCGAAGTAGGGCTGTATTTAACCTTTGTAATTCTGTTTGTTCAGTAATACAGTACTTTTTTATATTAGCTTCTCTTTTTATTCTCATGTCTTCGATTGACCTTTTGAATCTTTTATTGATTAAATATGATCGATCTAGTTCTCCGTGATGTGATCCACTGAGACCCATGTACAGTTATGTGTGTTTGTCTGGAAATATTACGCCACCTACAACCATTTTAATCAATGCACATAAATTTTCTAATCTGTAACCATCCTCGTTCCTTTCTCCCAGTCTATGTCGTCCCATACCAGCATTCGGGTCTCCCATCAGAATGATCATGTCCTTTCCTGAGCACTTCGCTATGATTTATTACAACCTCTCATAGAACTGATCCTTATTGTTGTTGTTGCTATCTTTGGTGAGTGCATAACATTCACTGTGATTCCCACCTTTATTTTGTAAGATGCTTTGACGATCCTGAGTCCATGAGATTCACATCTTATAAGTGCTTCACATGCTTCTTTGGATAGCATCAGAGCAACTCCCTGAGTGTGTGGAGCATTTTCTTTATGAACAAAGTACAGCATCTCTCTCGAATCTATCCTTTTCTGTCCAATTTAGGTCCGATGGATTTCACTTATTCCGAGCACCTTTAAGTTGTACCTTCTCATGTCCAGAGCTATTTGACTGGTCTTCACGGTCTCCTACATTGCCCGAACATTCCATGTATCTGTATTAATTGTTACCCTAATTCATAGAAGGGGCATCGGTCTCGTGACTTCTGAAGAGTATCGGACTTCAACATGAGGTGTCATAATTCTTTCTTCAACTCCCAGGGCAGTTTTAATTGTTTGTTCTGGTTAGTGTTTTTATCTAGCAAGATTGTTTTCTACGGGATGGGGTTGCTGATCGCATGCCCAACCCTCCTCCTTTACTCATACTTGGGACCAGCAGTAGCCCTAGAAAAGCTACAGGCGTAGTTGAACATATTACTGCTTAGTCATAATTTAATTACTATAATCTAGTTAGATAATATAGACATTTGTTTATTTCGTATATAATTTACTAAACCAAAACCACAGTGCACTTCCATGTACTAAATTGTTAGACACATTGAGTGTACACTCAAACTGAATTGGATAGACAGGTAATCAAACTCGCGATATATTAGTCAAAACAGATTGTTTAAACTATTAAGGTTCCAAAAGTACTGCCCTGTAAATCATAATACATTTATAGCATAGACTAGTTAGTAGTAAAGTATATTACTTAATGGTTGAAATGTATACATGACAAGAAAAAATAATCCTTTCAGATGAGAGTCATTTGTTACTACAGTAGTTCAGACAATGGTGTCATAAGGTGTACCTGTTAATGATCCTATGTCAAATCTGAGATGAGTTGCCAAAAATTCGACCCAACGTTAGAATTATCAAGTAGCGAACGTCTCACAAAAGTTAATACGTACAGTGATCAATGATCTTTTCTATATTTTATAACAAATATATTTTCTCTGGTGATTTTATCTCAATAAAAATGATAAGTAGTTAATTACTTAGTACATTTTACAAGACTATATTTACTCCATTCGATGACGAAGTGGTGGACAAAATATCAGTTAACAAACCGAAAAATAGTTTATCTCGTTACCATCATCACTAACCTAAAAAACCATTTCATCTTAGTACTCATCAAGTCAATCACTAAGATTTCAAGTAGTTAAGAATTAGTGCTAAATTACTTCCAGACTTTCTTATAAGATCGAAACAATTTCGTGTTTTGATATATTACTCTGCAGTTGTACTAGTATTCATATGAATAACAATAACAATAATAATGGTAAATAACGAACATACTTAACTCACTTTCAAAAAGTTGACTATATTAACAAATATTTGATAAAATGTTCGTGCAAAACAAATTCCACAAATTAATAAGTTTATTAATACCATCAGCTTAAAAGTATTTCTTACATTTACAAAACTGAACAACAGTCTGTTTTTAATATGAATTAAATGAAACAAGTGGTGGTTTACAGTTAATTCCAGTTACTAAAACAAATAAGTACACATGTACAACCAATTAAGTTAACAACCATGTCATACAATTCTCAGTGAACAGAAGAATCGTAATTTGACTATATCAAATTTAATAAAAGAATCTATAAGTGGACACAATGAACAAAAACAGAAAAAGAGAACAATAACACAAAGCAATAGAGATCAGCAACACAGAAAAAGTAGCAAAATTAGGTAATAATGATTTTAGTTAGCGGAATTATCATCAAAGTATCCCAGCAAAACACAACATATTGTTTTCTTTGAACAATTGATATTTGGAATACATTGTGGATGGAGATGGATGTGGGGGAAAGGAGTAGTTATTCAAGTGACACTGAACAGACAGATAGTAAATAGAAATTAGTATTTACGTTTTCATACATATAAGTTATGCGATTTATAAAAAATGTATTTTGTGGACAAATTTCAGTTCCTACAGATAAATGATGCAACTCACTAATCAAGTAAAATTACACAAATCATATGAGAAATAAAATAAATCATGATATAAATGTCCAGTTGTTTAATCTGAAGATAAAAAAGTTTCAAACAGACATCTCAACCGTTTAAGTTTATCTATTCAGGCCATCTAGCAGGACCTTTACAATGAATAGCAAGCAAACGGAATTAGTTTTCAAAATTAGTTATTTTAAGAGATTCAGCAGTCTGAATACAAACTGGTAATAGTTGATATACGACAAATGAGTGACTTTCTAGTATGCTACATTGTAAATCATTATGTAATTCGCTCGACCAAAGCCATAATCTTTAACTCCTGTAGGATGTTACAACGAAACAGATGTAATTCGGATTCCGTAAATAATCTTATTAGTGCAACTATCGGTTTGATTAACCTTAACCGTACCCAGTAGTTTTGTCAAGCAGATTAAAGTTTCATAAAAATGGGGAGCTACATGGCAAGTGAACAAGTAGAAATGCTTTAGAACTCTAGTAGTATAATAAAATTTGACATGAAGTAACTTTATTTTATTACTGACCTACTTAACCGAGTCACACCTGACAATTACATTGAAGTTAATAACTGGTTAACAATTTTAAATATCTGAACGAGTCAAGTATGCCTATTTCCTATATGTTTCCTCGAGTTGTTTCTGATAGGATATGAATAAACTAACTTCTGCACTAAACAACAATAACCATATAAATACGCTCCTAGAAGCCTTTAATTGAAACTCAATTTCTTCAATAATGCTATTTTCAGGTATGAAGCAAAAAGATAGAGATATGAATGTCCGAAATAGTATGTCATGATAATAAATACAAAACACGAAGCAGAATCACTTAGTCTTTTCTTGAACAACTTTACTTAAAAAATGTAATCTAAGAGGTGAATTTAAATAAAAACAATTATTCATAATGCGTTAAATACAACTGTTAATACAAATGTAAGACAACTTAATTACTAGATTCAAGGCCTATATTATAAATGGTCAAACCTTAATTTCTCACTACAAAGTAGCATAGGCTATTGGCTGATAGGTGCGTTGATCTTCATAGCTGTGTTATGGTCACTCAATTTTGTACTCCTTTAAGCTAAATTCGTTATTTATAAATTATCCGCATGTAGAATTCGTCTAACTAACTATATTAAATTCTATATCAGTCACCAATTTATCCCAAAGATATCAATGATTTTTGAAGATTCGACCTGTATATGACGAACTTGATTATGTTCACTAACATCAGATGAGCTGTAAATAGTTTAACCATTTAACAGCCTTCATGTACGCTATAAAAACAGAATAGCTATTCTATTCAACGTAATGATGATGAGTACAGTTAACTTTGCATAAGACATTTGAATCACTAATCATGATTAGTTTGACGTAATACATACTGTAATAAATTTATCAGCGTGTTAAAAAGTTCAGTTTTTATTGATGCTTTGGTATTTTAAGAGAAACGCACAACTTTCAATAGGATGAGATGTTTATATTTCAGGAGTACTTTACTACGTTGAGAGAGAAGTTTAATAGAACTTTAGCAAGAAATTTGAACAACTATCTGTTAGTTGTAGAAGCGTAGATGATAAACAGCTTTCTTAAGTTGCTTCAGGAAAAACTAATGATAATAATAATAATAATAAATAAATAAATAAATAAATAAATAAATAATAAGTGATATTTTAAGTTACATAAAATATGATGCCTTTCTTTCATGATAAACTATAAAATGCACAGCAAAATGCTTAACTCGAATAGACAAAGAAAAATATAGTCAAAAGAATTAAATAATTGTTCTAGTTTAACAAAAAACTGACTACTTTTATCTAGATTCACCAGAACAGAGACTTGGCAGTGTATATGACTCAGATTTGGAGTTGTGAATTTAAGCACTTTTCCATGTACTTTCATCTGGACAACCACGTGATATCAGCAGTTTGTTAAAGAGTTGTGGATTAAAAATGATAACAAGAACCGGCAGTTAGTTACAAAGCTACATTGCACCATAAGGGGAGGGAATAATTTATTGAACCACAATTTATTCGGATAGAATGCTAAAGAAGATAGTGTTTATTTTAAAAATTATTAAAGTACCCTGAATTATCAGCCTGAGGATATATATTTTCATTTACGGGAAAAATGGGTTTTTTCAAAATGTACCGAACAATTCTCAATTAAAATGATAAATTCTTACGTGCAAGAGACTTCTGATATACTGTTATCATCGTCTCTATCATCATCCTCTTGAAAAGTATTTCTTCGTTCCTCTTGTTCTGGCTCTTCTCGCTCACTTAATGTTTCATTTACTGTTGACTGTGAATTGATTGAATGAACTTCAATAGGGAAAAAATCAATTAACCACGGAGTAGTTACAATGTCGGAATCAGAAAAAGTGGCACTAATTGGTATTCTTCGTGTACGAATACGTCTTATATGTCGACTTTGACTAGACTGTATTCGACGTGAACGATTACGTTTACACTGTGTATTCTTCTCTACTGAAGTAGCATTAGGCTCATCATCATCAGAACTCGAATCACTATTGAATATGATAGCAGCAACTGATGGTTGAAAAGAGGTTTCTTCATCAGATAAACTTCCTGTTTTTGTTCGTTTTTGCTTAGGTGCTTGAGAACAACCTAACTGACAAGACAAATCAATGGATTCATTCCCAGTACGTTTTTGACTATCAGTTTGACCAACTCCTTCAATGCTTTCATTCACTAAATTCACATTATTCAGAACAGATTCACTATGCAATGTGTCGCCAAGACTTCCAGCAGGATGATTGGCATTAGTATGGGTTTCATTTCCAGAGGGTTGCAGTGTAGAATAAGAATCCCTTTCGAAATTGATGTTGTCATGGTTATTATTATGATCATCATCGTCATCATCACTGGATTCATTCTCTTCTTCGCTATTCTGTTCATCAGTACAATCACGATTTCTCGATCTTCTAGCTCTATTAGAATCAAAATCAAGACCACGAAAATTATAACCCATATTTAACAGCATTATTTCCAGAGGATCAGCGTTAGAACGTTGTTGATTCCGTTCAGCTGCTCCAACTTGATTTCTAACAACTCGTGATTGATCAGGGTCTTCCTGAAAATAAAAAGTCACATTGAATATTCCTCTTAACAAAAATAAATAAACAGATACAAGCAATTCTTTCTCAGATGAATAAGACGAAAAATCTATATTATTACAGTCAAATTCATTTTAACTCTCACTAATCAGAAACTCACAACAAGGAAAACAATTTACATTTGCACATGCTTGATTACGGTTGATAATAAACTATGTAATTCGAAAACGAAGCTATTCAAAAATGTTGGGATGTTGATTACCTAAGTATAACGACTAATATTAGATGATCATTGACATGCTACTCACTTTTTGGTGATGATGATTCACAATGATATCCAAGATCATAGTATATACAGTTTAGAATACAGCTGTTAGACTCCAAACATAATTGACTTGATGAGCTACAGTGAAAGGTCAGTGTTTATCATGTGACCTTTAATTTGATCTTTTATTAAAGAACTTTTACCTAATATTTAATTTAGTTTTAATTTCCTGATACACATTACGTTAGTCAATAGTTCTGTATTTCGGAATATGTTTCGTTGAGACTCGAAGAGGGCCTAAGTTACAGCAGTTTATTTTTATAGAATCAATCGTTCCATTATAAAAAAATGAGTGTATCTACAAATTCCCCTTTAACCTTTATTTGAATGGTGTTAACTGAGAATACAAGACTGTAACGAAAAATGTCGATTATTTCAATGTAGTAAGTTATCACAAAAACATAACACATAATCTTCAGCGATATGATGAAATTTGAATAGCTTCTTTCAAAAAAGGGGAAGACAAAATAAGCGTCTTTAAAGGTATAGTATGAATCATCTATTAAAATGAGGCTAGTCAATCATATAACTCCGTAGCACTATTGATTTTCTATCAGGATTAAAATCTATTATGAATTAGAGATCGGAAATGAAACAAAAATACAGTGCAGGTTGAACTAATTCAAAATAAAACAAGTTAATGCAGACTGAATCATTGCATTTGATGTAGTTTCATGTGAAACGGAACGTTGTGCGCGAAATGTCTGAAATATTCAAAGTGGAAAGACATGAATCAAGAAGAAAAATTACATTAAAATCTGTCTTGAATCAGGTAAACACCGAATTTGAGCAAACATGGACCTATAATTTTCATATTAAAATTCTAAGAAAATTAACTATATAAAACAAATGTTTTGAGAGCAAAGATAATCTGTTTTTAAAGGAGTTCATAAAACTACTAAGTGCATAATAGTTGAAAAAGTCGACAACGAAAGAATATTCTTTTCTATTAAAAAGGAGTACATTTTTAGACATTTCTGACAAACCGATTTAGTTAATTAATGCGACAATAACAGAAAAGAATGATCACTTATAACTGTTCGAATGAGCTATTTCATTTCTCTAACCAAAAATGAGGCTGTTTTTTTCTAATACAATTAGTAAAACTAATATAAAAATGAATTGTAGAGGAATAAACTCGAGAAGCCATAGCAAATTCCATTAATTCCTGTCCAAATTGTAATATGTATAGATTAGAGTTAACGTAATATCCCACTCAGTTAATCAAATCCAACGTGAATAAATAAGAGAAGGTGTCCACTGAAATTTATTAATAAATACACACGTATTATTTAAACAGTAAAATACGTTTTCTTAAAACTACATTTTTCCCATAAATACTGTTTACACATAACCATTTACGGATAAATCACACAATATAGAAATTTAAAAAAACAGCACTTAGTGATAACTGTTTGAGTACTGGTGACTAATTTCTATCAATAACTTTAACCGAATAACTGGAAATATTTTGCGCATACATCACACTAAGTAGATTGATTATGGCCATCAATGGATTGGTGATATGCCTTAGCCAAGTAAGTGTTTATCTTCTTCTGCAACTCTTCTAGTTAATGTACTAATAACAAGGTAATTTGCGATTCGATATGAGTAATACATAGTCTAACTACCACAGTTTATGTAAGTTGATAAGTGTAATTCTACTCAAACCTATATCCTTCACTTTAAATAATTTCAAATTAATGTCACTAAAAAACAACGAAAAGAGAACTCTCCATTTAAATAGCCAAATGAAGCTTGAATGAGATGTATGACTAATGAAGGTTAATTATTTTCTTCATTGTTAGTGATAACCATAATTGTGAATGGACTGGGATTCTTACTGCCCAAGAGCCTTAACAGACGAAGGTAGTTTCTTAAGGAGTCACTCTCCGAGCATTTGGATAAAAAGTATAATCCAAAAGACAGTCGAGCAGAGTTAAGAGATGTATCTCTATGTTATCCAATGACCAGAATAGGTCCATACGTTATTCATCCTATTAGGATCCTGAATACAATTCGAATAATTGGTTTAAAATTAGGGTTTTCCAACTCCCCTAGGTGAATTCTCTGAATTCACTAACACGGTTTAAGTGCGCGATATTCACTTTTCAATATCTCACTTCCACAAATAACAAGAGAGTCGCGAGGACGTATTTATTTACTTATTTGAACACATAAATATTGGTACAGGGGGGCACCAAATATATATGCGCCACACAAAACAATGACAATTTGAAGAGAAGGAGAGAAAAAAAAGTAATGAACGTGGGGAATTATAAAAAGAGAGAGAGAGCGAACAGTAATGGGGAAAACGGAAAGGTACAATCCGAAGAAATCTTTCAGTTAAGGAAGAAGCAACCACTTTTTATGAAGAAAGTAAAACAAGGTTACAGCAGGATCGTCATTGGCTTCTATTCTGAGCCATATCTGATAACGTCTCTAGCCACTGCGTTACACCGTCTCTCGGACCCCAACCAGGGAGTCGTGAAGGACCAACAGAAGCTAGCCCTTTGCAGCTTTCTTTCATACCACGACACCATGTCATATACTGACCATCTCTCCGCTTTTTCCAACCAGTCCCAGAGTCGGCAAATAATGCACGACGTGGAATTCTCTGGGACGACATTCGTAAAGCATGCCCAAGCCACCGAAGTCGGTGTTTCAAGATGGTGACACCAATGGAATTATCGTCTCTGTGACCGAACACTCGATGCCGAACCTCTGAATTACTGACATGGTGTTGCCACTGGATGCCAGCAATCCTTCGGAGACAACGATCATCGAACACAGAGAGTCGTCTAACATCCTCAGCTCGGAGAGGCCAGGTTTCACAAGCATAGAGCGAAACTGCTCTCACTGACGCATTGTAGATCCGACCTTTTACAGCCAGACTAACATCACGAAGGCGCCAAAGATGGCCCAGATTGGCATAAGCCGCTCTGGCTTTCACTATACGTGCATTGATCTCATCACTCACACCACCACCAGCACTTATGCAGCTACCTAGATACACGAACTTCTCGACCACTTCTATCTGCTCACCGTCCAGAGTGAGTACAGGATTAGAATCCTGCCAGTCTTGAAGGAGTACTTTTCACTTCGAAGGTGCGAAGCACATACCATACCTACGGACATTGATTGCCAACTGATTAAGTGCGGATTGCATGGTTTGGGCATTCTCGAACAGTAAGACAATATCATCAGCATACTCAAGGTCGAGAAGTCTTTCTCCAGGCAACAGATCCACACCACCATTACTTACATCCATCAGAGCTGTTTCCAGAATGTCATCGATGGCAAAGTTGAAGAGGAATGGTGAGATTGGGCAACCCTGCCTAACTCCACTGCTTGAATGGAACAATGGATAGAGGTGGTTGTATGCCCTCACTCTGCCTGAGGTGTTTGTGTATAGGGCTTTTAGGATGTTAATAAACTTCTCAGGCACACCCTTCTTCAATAGACAATCCCAGAGAACAGTTCTGTCCAACGAATCGAAGGCAGCCCTGATATCAAGAAACACTACGATTGTTGGCCTTTGATAAGTATGGCGGTGTTCTAACACTTGGCTGTATACGCGTGGCCGTGTGAGAGTATTTCGAGAGGGAGGGCGAACCCTCCCCGCTCTCGGCCATACCAGGGCATTTGGGGGCAAAAGCGATTAGCAGAGCGTGGACGCAGAGAGTTGGACTTCCCTAACAGACGTTAGAAATCCATAGCTATATGAGAGCATTTCGAGAGGGGAAATGGTCTCTCCTACTCTCAACTTTATCAGATAATCTGGGGATAAAGAGACGAAAAAAAGAAATGTTATTAATAAAAAATTGTAGTTTTATAACTGCTAAACTGTAGAAGTGACAGGAAATAAATCACTCGTATGAAATCCGATGAAATATAAAAGTATTGACAAACGCAATCAATTTTTGATTGCCTATTTCACCGTAGAAACTGGACATAGTATTGATAAAGTTTTTCTTAAACTTTGATGACAAACATAATATAAAAATGCACAAGACCTATGTGGAATACGAAACCGAAATGTATCAAATCAATATCACTATAATATCGGTTACATAAAATTAAACAGAATTATACAAATGTTTCGTATTTTACTGTACAATCTAACAAAAAGGATATTATGGAACACCACTGGGACAGATTGTATCCCATGGGTTTTTACCTACTACATTTTACAAAACGTTAGAAATTCCAACCAGAAAACCTACGTCAAGTATGGTCACGCATAAGTACCTTTCACGCAAAACCTACCGAAATTGGCACTAGACACTGTAACCTCGTGGAATGATCTGTGTTTTAAATAGTTTTTAATATTGATCGCCTCCAGTGGTTGTACCACGTAGAAGAGGTATTGAGAAGCAACAATTGTCAAATAAATGAAGCTTTTTTAAAGAATATTCAATCCCAATATTCTTACTTAAAAACTGTACAACAAGTTGCTTAGCTTTGTGTGGTTCATTCTACTATTGATGGACGACGTTAAATGACATAGTTTAAGTTACTCGTATTTCTCAAAAATTATAAGTATACACTAAGCAATTATCCCATTACAACAACAACAACCTGAAAAGTCGTGGTTTATTGGTGGAACTGATATTCATAGAACATTCCATGATGATAAATATGCCTCTCCAGGCAAGAAAGCTTTTATAACAATAATATATTATAATTGATCAATAATATTCTTACTTCACAATTTGGTGACCATAGTCTTACAACAGAGTCAATTCCGGAACTTGCCAACAAACAAATAGACGGATGAGGTTGAACACAGTTCACAGTAGAACTGTCAGCTTTCAATATACGCATTATATTAGTTGTGTTTCGGTCCCATATAAAAAATGCACCACAATCAGACCCACCGACAATATATTGCCCATAGCTAAAATAACAAAGTAATTTAAGTTGGTAACCAATGCCTTTTTCAAAACTATATAACTGCTGTTACATATAACGACTAAATCACGAACATCATAACTCGAATAGTGTGACGCTAATATCTGCGACAGTGACACTGAGTAGTGTACGGTAGGATACTTGATAAAGTATCAGGTTTCATGCTAGTGCACATATCCCTTGCTGGTGAATTAAAGTCTAGTCGAGGATTCCCGTTGATTATTCCCTGAATACTAAACACTAAACGTTGATATTCTGTTTCATCTTTCTAATTTTATGTTCAATAATAATTTCAGCAGCTTTCCATTCCTAACCGAATGTAGCCAAGTTTCGAGGGAGTAAGTTTACCTGAATCAAATGAATTATTAGGACATTCAAAGTATATGAAATTTTTTTCTACACATTTATTTTAGAGATTTAGCATCAGTCATTTAAACAGCTACAACGTAGGACCAGGCAAAAGTCGCCACACCTTATTAGCACAACAAGATGAACAGTAATTCACAGAAGCAGTTACTTCAATGATAGTAATGTATTAAAACAAACATTGCATATAACGATATAATACAGAGAAGAAAATTAGATTGTGGAAAAAAGTGTATAAAAAAATTTTAGTCCCATGGTTTGAGAAAAGACAGAGTGTATACACCTACGCAATTATGATCGATTCTGAGTCGTATCACCCAGAGCATTCAACCACTAGTTACGTTAGTCGTGAGGACCCCAACCAAGTAGTCTGCATCTAAAAACATGGTTCAGACCAGAAGTTAGTGACTTTATGGACTGATGCCACGTTTTTGTTCGACTGACCCTAACCTTCCATCTGTCTCCAACACTACTCAGCATTGCTTGTCGCGGTAGTCGGTGGTTGGGCATGTGTAATACATGGCCAAACCATCTCAGTCGACGAAGATTCACAACCTCATCAACTGATTTACGCCCATTCCCTAATACCTTCAGTCTAACCTCCTTATTACTTACCTGGTGAACCCAGCTAATATGAGTAATATTTCTAAGGCATCTGTGATCAAATACTAGTAACTTACTAGTATCTTCTACTCTTACGCAGGCCAGGCCTGAAGCAACAATTTGCATTTAGAGGGAGAGCAATGCATCCCAAACATCCCGTCATTGTTGTTTAGTGCTGCCAAAGGACTGTATTTTATCAGCGTCTTCACCAAACAGGACTATGTCATCTGCGTATTCAAAGTCGATAAGTGGACCTCCTGGAAGGAGATCAATGCCCGAGAATTCAGTCGACCAGAACGTTATTCCCATCAGTAGGTCTATGATGAAGATAGTGGACAGTCTTGATGGATACCACTTGAGGTTGCAAAATCAGATGACAGTTCGCCATAAGCTCTCACTCGATTAGTAGTGTTCGAGTAAAGAGCCTTCACAAGGTTTATGTATTGCTGAGGTACGCCTTTCAATGACAGGCATTGGCACAGAACCTCTTGGTCAACAGAGTCAAATGCTGCTTTTAAGTCAAGAAAGACCATCATTGTCGGACGCCGATAAGCATGCCTGTGTTCTAGAACCTAACGAGTGGTGAATATGTGGTCGATGCAGCCACGACCATGTCTGAAGCCAGCCTGATTTTATTGTGTTTGTAGTTCATGATTCTTTGTTAAGCGTCTGATAATTATTGAGGCTAATATTTTAGTTTGGACGTTAACGAAGAACCAATCAAAAGTAGGTAAAAATTAGAAAAGCTGAATCCGACCTGAGCTAAGTACCAACATATTCGTTGTCGACTTTCTGGGTTTTGTTTGTGGATATCGAGAATTCTATGAGCACAACAGTCAATTTATGATAAAAATGTTGAAAACATTGATATATTATTACTATGCACCAATGAATTACCTCCCAAAGAAATTTGCTTCTTTAATATCTGTTATTGAATTGCAATGACCAATATAAGATGCTGAAAAGTCGATGGCATTTTTTCGCCTTTCTCTTTCATCCTCTTCTATCCACATTCGATTACATGAGCAGTTTAAACAAGCACATAGTTTTGGATTAATTCGATTGTCGAGACTTGGACAATCCCAAGATTCTGATGATATTTGTTCACATACTAGAAAGAAAATAAATTAGACAAAGTTAATACCAAATTTAAAGAAATTTCTTGTCCTGTTAGATGTAAAGGATGTTATTAGATATATAAAATAAAAACCACTGGGTTCTGTGGTTTACGATGGTTAATGACTTCGACTTTTAACCTGAGTCACGGGTTTAATGATTTACAGAGATAATTATTACATTTAACACGCACGCACAGTAAACGCAGTCAGTAGAGTAATATATGGACGCCAGCATAATCATTGAGCAATAAAACAGTTTGATTTTAACTATTAATTCGAAGCATATAAATTTTGGTGCAAAAGAGCACGAAAAAATGGGCCACACAAATAGTGTTAGTAATGTAAGGAACTAAAAGAGGGACGGGTAGTAAAGTTAATCAATAAGTCAACTAGAATAGCATTTATTGATAAAGTTCAGTTGAAAAACGTTCAAAAAGTTCCCTTAATTAATGAATTTCATCTCGTTTTTATGAAGAGCATAACTCAAAATTACAGCTGAATTGGTACTGGCTTATTTTCTGAACCGAACCGAATGACGTCATAAACCAGTGAATCGCAAAATCTCTAGGACCACAGAAAAAATAACGGATTGACAGATCCGAAACATACACCACTTTCTTTCGGACTATATTACCATGTTATAAAATGCTGTTGTAAAAGTGAGATTCTTCATTTTATTGTTTTTATAAAGGATGAACTCCATTACAATATCTACTACTAATACAAATACGTGTAATAAATACTATTCATATTTTATTCCGAAATATATTCCGATGAACTCGAAGAACGCTTAGTCAGCATTTACCAACTCAATATTTTGGGAAGATATTTCAATTTATCAACGAGTGTAAGAAAGAATAAGTAATCATGAGTTTGTAGGTTTCATTACCAAGGTTTGACTTCATAATTTCAAATAAATTGACTGTTGGGTAGGTTGTAATTAATAAAAATATATTTGTAATATCCGGATGAGTAGTAAATTAAAAGAAATTTAATTTTTCTACTCATTGGGATATTACGAAAATATTATTTTTATTAAAAGCAATGATGAATTTTAATTTCGTGGAACATAAATGGAATAAAATAAGAATAGGTCTCTATAATCAGCTAACGATTTAGAATACATCTCTAGCGTAAACAATGTTGATATAGTAGTTAGGAACTCAATGAATTTAATTTGTTCCTACAGAACCGATTGCCTTCACCAAACAAAACAATATCACCTGGGTATTGTAAGTCAACAAGTGAATCTCCTCGCGATTAACAGAGTCGAATGCTGTCTTACGGTCAAGGGATACACCTACAGTTGAACGTCACAAAGTATGTTTATGTTTCAGAATCTGCTGGATGGTGAATAGTTAGTACACACATTAACGTTCAAATCTGAAACCAGACCAGTTTACTCGGGTTCGCTCCTCATTAGCTCTAGCTAGACGTCGAAGTATTATTTTAGACACTATAAGCTAAACTGATTCCTTTGTGATTGTCACAAGAGGATTTTTGCTTTTTCTAATGAACTGGGACGATCAACGATCGAGACAATAAGGTAAACCACAAGGTTAGGGGAAAATACTGGATCTCAGCAGCATCTACCAGTGTCAGATGATCGAAAACTCATCCAATCAGGCTGTGAACATGATGAAGAGCGGAGTCTGCTGAAGCGCAGGCTGATAAGAAGCTTACGCAATGATTGCGAACAGTGGTGGGTTACGAAAGCAACAAGGATGGAGAGTCCTGTAGCAGCAATTTGCATTTAGAGGGAGAGCAATGCATCCCAAACATCCCGTCATTGTTGTTTAGTGCTGCCAAAGGACTGTATTTTATCAGCGTCTTCACCAAACAGGACTATGTCATCTGCGTATTCAAAGTCGATAAGTGGACCTCCTGGAAGGAGATCAATGCCCGAGAATTCAGTCGACCAGAACGTTATTCCCATCAGTAGGTCTATGATGAAGATAGTGGACAGTCTTGATGGATACCACTTGAGGTTGCAAAATCAGATGACAGTTCGCCATAAGCTCTCACTCGATTAGTAGTGTTCGAGTAAAGAGCCTTCACAAGGTTTATGTATTGCTGAGGTACGCCTTTCAATGACAGGCATTGGCACAGAACCTCTTGGTCAACAGAGTCAAATGCTGCTTTTAAGTCAAGAAAGACCATCATTGTCGGACGCCGATAAGCATGCCTGTGTTCTAGAACCTAACGAGTGGTGAATATGTGGTCGATGCAGCCACGACCATGTCTGAAGCCAGCCTGATTTTATTGTGTTTGTAGTTCATGATTCTTTGTTAAGCGTCTGATAATTATTGAGGCTAGTACTTTAGATGCTATATTAGTCAAACTAATCCCTCTATGGTTATCACAGAATGATTTTGATCCTTTCTTATATTTTGGGACCAGTCAAATGGGATTACGTCCAGTTCCCAGATTTTAGTCAAACTAATCGCTAAGACTGGACCACTATACTTAAAGACCTCTGGAGCCAATCCAGTGAGGCGCAAGCAAATGCGTGCCCGTATTAGAGCATGATCGGAGTCCAAGCAGGTATTCCAGAATGATCGACAATCTTCTATCGAGCCTCTTCAACGATGACTGGTGGCAATATGGTCTATTTGAGTCCATCGTTGAGTTGGTGCAGGGGGTCGCCATGTTAGACGGTGTCTCTCCTTATGTTTAAAATTAGTACTTGCTAAAAATAAAAGATTGTCAGAGTAAGACTGCAGTAGACAGTCACCACCATCTGTTCGCTAAGCGAGAATACTAAAGCACTCACCTAAATGTCTTTCCGTTTGGTTTAAGCTACCTATCTGGGCATTAAAGTCACCAGCTACGGGTACTATGTGTGAGCGTTTAGCTGTATGAAGAAGTTCAGAAAGCTTTATGTAAAAGTCATCTTTCACTTCATCCGAACTGCAGTCAGTGGGAGCGAGTTCTTACAGAGCTGTTTAGACGAACAGCACATAGGCGACTGTTAACGGGGATCCACTCTAATAGCGCTTTTCCTGCCCTCGTACTTAGTGCTATGCCTACACCTGCCAGTCCACGAGAACTAGCCATCGGGTCGCCAGATACACGGGGGGTGTATCTCGTCGGCTCTCCGTTTTGCCGAGGTGAGGTCAAGTGAATGACCACGCTAGAATCCTGTATGCGTGTTTCGGAGACACATCATACATCAATAGTACGAGATTCTAGGGTTTTAGCCAAGGAGGCCTGCTGGCCGATTTGGCATAGGGTGTGTACGTTGAAGGCTCCAATATGTAGTTTTGAGCGAGGTTTCAGTAGACCTGGGACAGTGTTTTGCGCAATAGAATCGTTGGCCATGATGACACTTGAGGAGGAAGATTAGAGTTGAAAGTCGAGGTAGGAGAAATAATAGGAATTGAAGAGGGAGATTGATCATGAATATAGTGATCTTGAGTACTGTTAGAGGTATGAGGGTAGTTATCACTTCCCAGTTGCCCACACCGTGGGAGGGTTCTCCTGGAGGCACCTGAAAAGAAAATTGGGTTAGGAGTGGTTTTATTGAACTGAGAGCGTGACCGCAGTGCTCAAGGGACATCTGCTTGATGTCGGTCACACACGACCTTTTTATGAGTAGTTTTTGTGTTAGCTCCGTACTTGTTGAAACCTTACACCCGGAGACGGATATCCATGGGATAAGGCGAGGTGTGCATTTTTAGGGTCGACCTTTTCTAACTCCACCCCTCCTTGTGGGAAGGCAGCACCGCTGTTGTGTTGATTGTCTAAAGGGAAAATCATACTGCCGTCACACCTCTGTACAGTCAGCAGTACGCCCTCGCCCTCAGACCTTGGGTTTGTTGTTTTTAGTCTTACCGTTCTTCAACCGACCTGTCTGGCACGGTAGGACCTTGTGGAACGATTGTTCCAGCCAGTATAGATCGATCGGTTCATCACGATAGGCAAGCTCGACCACCTCAATGTAACAACAACGGTCGGAGTTCAAGCAAATGGTAATTATGGCACATTATGTTGTGACAGACCAAATGCTGGGGATTTTGTAGCATTTTAACTAGTTCACGAAATATGATTTTTATTGTATAGTTAATAGATGGTTGGATAATTATATTTCTCTGTCTTGCATCGCAAGCTCCCGTTGAACGTATTGGCTAGTGCTAAATGCTTTATTATTCATTAATTATTTACCGTTCATTCTGTTCTTTGCCACTTACAGAAGGATTGTATGTAAAGCATGGTTTCTAGTCGCGGTTGCGTTGTGGTCCGCTAATTTGTACATGTAAACTAAATAGTTCTGGAAATGACTTTACTGGGTACCTGAAATGTAATGATAGGAGCTTGTTTGCTGCTTTTTTATTACCGTATCCGAAATTGGGGATGAAAGAAGTCATACACATCGGCAGCCCAATATGAGTCAATGTTATCTCGTCAATGATCCAGGTTACTCGTGCCATCCTAAGCGTCTTAGTGATCAAGTTAAGTGGTCAGTCAACAGATAGACTAGAGTATCCGGACTCGAGAAGAACAGGTTAGGATTTCGATTGGTGTGTTTTTATCCGATCTAACGACTAAGGAAGTCCAGACCAGGAAGCATCATAACACTACGTTCATCAGATTATCCAGAAATCTCTACCGACACTTTGTCCATTTACTCAATAACCCAGCGATAGTTTGAAGGAGTTTTACGAAAAGGCCTCAGGGTTCTTACATGGGTTGAAAAAGCACTTATAATACCAACTAATTCCAGTGGGCAAGATTGAGGTCAATGACGAGAATACATTTTTATTCTCTCTGAAGAAAGTTCTATTTTTGGAATGCCTATTAATATAGTTGATTATAAGGAAAGACACGAAGATAAGTGAAAATCCATTAAGTAGATGCCTAATATACTTCATTGAATTCATATTTGTTTTGTTCGAGTCTGTGTTTTTTAAGGATGTAATGAGTAAACTCGAATTTTCACTGGGTGAATTAACATACAGGTACATTTAATAATCCTACTTATTTTTTTATTTCTTATACATACTTCTGAAAAATGAAAATCGACGTCAGTGAGTCAGTTTACTAAAACAGGAAAAGGAACATACTGTTATCGCTTTTCAAGAAAGATAAAGTTTCTGGTCTTGGTATTGTAGGTCCTTTGGCATCATTGTCGTCATCATCATTGGTATCGTTGTTATCATTAATATTATGTACTGTTTTTTTTTCACTAACTTGCTTTTCTTTTCTTTTCAACTTGTTAGATTGTGATTCTAATTGTTTTTCTCTCGCCAACAATGTAGACTTTAAATGTTCGAACACTTTAACCAGGTTATCTGATTTGCAAACATACTTGGACGGATCTGTATCAGTGGTATTGATTGTTGGTGCGTTAGCAGATGATGAGGAAGAAGAAGCAATGATAGTAGGTGCAATAAGCGCTTTATCTGAAATCTGTTGATGCGTAATATTTTTGAAGAGATTGGGAAAGCTTTCCAGTGCTTGTTTGAGCTGAATACGAGCAGCATTTAACCAATCCAAACATAATAAACATCGAACTGAAAGTAATAGAGCTGTAAGGTAAACGGAACTGCTTAACAATTGGTGTTTATTAATGGTATTGTTATTTTGGATGCTGAGAGATTCATTGTTGCTTTGAGTAGTTAGTTGGATAGCATTTCGGCAATCCAATAGCGCATTATAAATATCGCCATTCCTTTAATTAAAATAAAAAAATACGTTCAAAGTTTACTCAACAATGTTCTTAAGATATAACACTTTGATCTTTTCCATGTATGAATAATAAAGCTCTAGGTTAGTCAACGATAAATTCAGTTTTGGGTTTTAACTGCAAAAGTGCACTTTGATATACTAACACGTATTATTCCATGTTTCCTTTAGCCAATCTAGGTAGCAAAAAACAACCGTGTATCCTGGAAATTTCAGGGTTTTTCACACAGATTATTTGCAAAACCTGAGTTGAATGGGTGAAAATAAGCTAAACTGATTACTTGAGAAATTAACCTAATATCAAGTCAACAGAAGCCAACAACCAATATAAGGTGTGATCGTCTCATACTACTAGTGATTCTTATACCAAAAGAGTGAGACGGTTATCTACGTATTCAGACCTATTGCTGATTAAAACATAGTGTTCTTAAAATTGACCACGTACAGAAAAACACATCCATATATGGCGCTTGTTTCATGTCAAAATCTTCAATAATACTTGTCCATAAACTATTCAACTAAAGAAACCTTCACAACAAAATCAAAGTCGAATGAAACCCACTATAATTTATACAAATCAAAATGATGTGAAAAAGACAGTAGATTCAAAAATCTAATTACCATGATGACTAAAAAAGTATCACATATGACTACACTAGAATGAGACCGACAGAGAATGCTTAATCAACCGTACAGTTTCAAAATGTATACAACATAGAACTTCATATCCCGCGATTGAGGAGCAGATATATTCAATAACCAAAACTACAGGATGGAATCTAGCGTATAATTTACTTAATATGCTTCTTAATTACTTTTATATAAAATCCTGGGGTACATTTTTGTATTTCCGACAGGAAGTCAAACCGTTAGTAGTTAACATATTGATATTTATCTATGAATTCCTGTATTATTACAATATATTATGTCAGTCATAATTCTTGATGGAAATCTTGTGTTACCTATATAATATTAAGCTTACTGAATGATATTAGACTAAAATATAATGAAGAGTTTGGATAAAACACAAGCTATTAAATAAACAACATAGACCCAATGTACCAGTAGGAAAACAAAAATGTCACAAAATAACTGACCAATTTCTTTTAATTAAAGCGGTAGCGCGACCTGTATACAGTTGAGGACAGAAAGGATACTGTTGAATAAGTTGATTATACTTATGAACTGCACCAGCATACATCTTGGCTTCAATTAATCGCGAAGCCAGTACGACTGAGTAATTAGAAGCCATAGAAGAATTACAACGGTAATCATAAGTTGAACCTATAAAAAGATAGTAGTAAAGTTTATTCAATTATTATTTACTTGAAAAACACTTGCCATTTAACGCTAAATGGATAAAATTAAAGTTTTTAAACAATATATGACGGATTACATCCAATTGGGAAGCCCTAAATAGAAAGAAATTCGCATCCTGTACTTTTAGCTTCTATTCAAAACATAAATGGCTAAGGAGTACATTACCAAAATGAGACTGATCAATACTGAATATCGACAACGGAGAACGAACAAAACCCATCACAAATAACGACGTAAGAGTTTAGAACAAGTGTAAACAGTAATATTTATGTTACCCGAATAAGAATCATAATATCCCATATTTGAAGGACGAAACCAGATAGGAATACGAAACGAACGAAACCTATCCCTTCGTTGCATTGCAGATAAACTATACAATAATCTAGTTGATTTAAACGATGATTGACATTGAAATGGTTCATTTTGTGAAGCTAAATGAAATAGATAAATATTATCACGTCCAATATTAGCTAATAGTTCTTCACCATCTGAACTAAAACTGACTGATGTTACACTGAAAGTTTGATTGTCTAAACCATCAGTTAATATTTTACCAGGTAGATGAGCTGAAATGACAGAAAATGATGCAGAAAGAGATTAATTGAGAGAATTGGTAAACAGAAGCTTATTATTTTTTTTAAATAAAAACTGCAATATTAAGTTATTGACAAAATTCAAGGAGGCATTTTACATCAAAATCAACAACGTAAGTGGTAATATTCAAAAACACCAACTAAATTTATGCTAACTCTATGGAACTAGAAAAGAAGGCCCAGGACAGAGTGGGTTGGAGAATGCTGGTCGGCGGCCTATGCTACATTAGGAGTAACAGGCGTAAGTAAGTCTATAAGCGCTCCGTATGAGGGTACGTGACATTCATTGTGTCAAAAAAAGATTTGAAATCACAATTTATATTAATGTAAATCCACGTCATTCACTTGCCAAATACCAATTTTGTATACACACGGCTTTGAGCTACATATTTTATGTAGAATCCACAGGTAAGACAAAGCTGCCTACACCGAAGGAGGTAAAGTGGGATTTGAAACCACAGTGACTGAAAGTCAAATGGTTTAATTACTTAAATAGCTTATGCAGGGGTTTCATCACAAAGAAGCAGATCAAAAATGTTAATTTAAGAAATTAAAATATGATGATATTCTACTATTAGCTCATCGTATTGAAAGAAAACAGACTGGCCATTGTACAGTTGTTTCCTAGTTGTTTGACACTATTCTGTACTGTAATGCTACGGATCCACTAGGAATAGCCTTCAGGACCTTTTTAACTCCCCGCGAGCATACTACAGAGCTTCTGAGTCAGAAGCCAATGGTCCACGTTTTAATCCTCAGCCAATTAACAATGTGGTGTGAATATCAGTGATTGTTACCTTACTCCCGACATAGATGAAAAACACGAGTTACAGCTTTGCTCTAATACACTGGGAATTCTTTTTGGAGTTAATTCTTAGTGATCCTATGATGAACATTCAATAACGGGGTTGGTCGAGATTTTTTAGTATAAAGTTTTTATTCAAGACCCATATCAGCTTGTTAGCGGGACATGGATTGGATTAAATCATGCTCAATGCACGATTGTTTTGGCGCACGATGATTGGCTAATTCTTGTCCAGTCAGCGCTAGTCGATACTTGGAGAATACTCTAGAAATATTCTCATGTAAAAATTATAAATATACTAACGATTTTCCTATTGTGTTTCTTGCTTCCATCTAACCTTGTTATTTGGAATACAATCTCTTTCCTGTTCGACCGTGTTCTGATTTGGGGACTTGTCGAGTGAATCTGTGTCCGAGAACACTAAGCGATAGGAATAGCTGAGTTATAACCATAGAGAAACGGACAGCAATTTCGTCCTGGTATAATACTATTTTTCATGAGGTGGAGAAGAAATTGAGGTAAAATCCTGGTTCTTTATCTACAATATATGTTTACATAAATAAGGAAGAACTTTTGGTTTCAATACTTACATGGAACAAAATATTTAGCTGCACCATAGGGAAATGAAGGCAGCGAGCTTGATGGAATGTTTGTAGGGGTTCTCCTTGATGCAGATTGTCTAGAGGATATATGGAAATAGTTTTCAGATACAAGAATTTACAGAGAAGACTATAAATTAACTTGACAATGATCAAAGGAATCTAAATAAAGAGGAATGTGATAATAACTACAATGATATTCATTTTATATGTGGCTTTATATGGTAATTTAACGCTTAAATTAAGTCTCATCGTCAGGCATGTCACCTGGTGTTGTAACTCCATCATGGGTGATGCATTAAGATATTTACTTCTACAAAATAGGCAGACATTCGAATAAAACTCGGTGCTTAACTGAATTGATAGTTCTTTTTATAAGTTATTGAATTACGTTAACATTAGATCTGAATGACCACCAAAGTCATCTAGAATGTACAGGATTCACTGAACTGTAATTAAAAATACAAATTTCAATCAGAGATTTTAATAATGATATAAATTGGTTGTAAAAATAAAAATTACCACAATAAATAACCTATACTACTGTATTATCTAAGACATTTAACTAAGATCAGTTCGTTATTTAAAACTACGAAAATTCAGCGATCCCCACAAATTCCCCTGTACTAATAATGATCCTGTACTGCCCAGGACAGGGTTGGATGGAGAGTGTTGGTGGGCGGCCCATGCTCCTCCACGAGGAGTAACAGGTGTAAGTAAGCAACTCACTAGTGACTAGCTTCAGGATACAACTCCTTAAGTTCTAATAAAAACCCACGACCAGTGGAGTTCAACTATGTCGGGTATGAAACAGTCATCTACCAGAGAATGAAGGTTGAGCAACATTGTAAATTGATCGAAGTTAGATATTAACACCATTGGATGTCGGCTCAGTGGTTCAGAGGTTAATCGTTTGCATGCGAGATCGAAAGTCCTTGGTTCCATTCCTGAACGCCCGCTTGTGGACGTGCGCTCCAGAATAGTCCTACAATGGGATGAAGCGGCTGTTCAGGGCTTCCACGTTTACAATGGTGGTCTAACTAAGATTAGTTCATGATTTCAAACTGTGAAGATTGCATACATATTCGGTTAAAAAAAAACAATGATACTAAGGTTCCTACAGACGTTATTTAACAATAGTTTCCTTAGAGTCATATGATAATAAATTATTAGATATTTTATTTAAGCACAAGTTAGGCAGAATATGGAGACTATGTAACGGGCCATTGTAAAAACAAACAATATGTTTCTGCTGTAATGTCGAAAGACAAATAGTCCTGATGGACTACTTTTATGATTCTTTATGTTAGAACTGATGAATAATCAGTACAGTGATAGTTGATAATAGCAGATATCATCTAGTAATCAAACGGAAATATGTAAGCCCCATGGTATAGAAAATCAATGAACCAGAATCCGATAATTGGTGAGTATTAACCTCTGTTGATTCGTTTCTGAATGTTAATCATTGCTATTTCCCCGGCTTTTGAACACGTTGATACTATAGATTATTACTTGTCCGATAACGAAAAAGTCTGTTAAACGATCATAACTACTTTACTACTAACTAATTGGTCAAATGGTTTCAATAGTTCATCTAAATAGACACAGAGTTCGTGTTTTGACGGGCTACATTACTAAGATTTCATAGTCGAGATTTGAAGTGACTCGTGGAAGATAAACGGAACCATAAAATTTCAGAAAAACCACACATAAACTATTTAAGCATCCATAAAAACAGATTAGTGCAATGTTTTTCTAGGGTAAAATTTCTACTATTCAGAACAAATAGGCAAAGCATATGGCAGAATTTAACAATGGGGAACGATACAGTCTTACTCTGAAGAAGTAGCTTACATTGAGCTACGAAACGTCAGAAATACACTTTCTACCCAATGGGATATAAAAAATACATACTTATTATTAGTTTTTCAATACGTTTAGACTGAGTGAATCAATGAATGCTGAGACGTTTACCATGGCTTACATCTTTTAACATCAGTTGCAGGGTTGCAGATTTATTCATTTAATATACTTCTCCAGATACTGGTCTGTTTATCCATACTTTCCATTCTTTGATTTAACTCGACTGTTTCCAACTATATTAACTATCTAATTTTCAAGACCAGCTTTATTATTTCAACGCCTTTATTTTTAAATTCGAACTCATTGTATTGATGTGAAACCAGACGACTTGGGTTAAAGGGAATTTTTTGCCGGACTGTACGTTGCATATGACTGAATAATTAATATTGTTACTTAAATATTTAGACACAGGTTGGGATCTAGATAATAAATAGTTCTTTATTCGAATACATAAAAACATGTAGACAGAAGAACTCAAAAAGCTGCTATTTATTACGCATTTAGAGAGTTATGTCACAGCTCCGAATGAACTAAATTTACTGGAAATTGTAACCTTTTTACTTCAAAGCACGCCATTTACAGATGAGAATAAAATGAAACCACCTTACATAGACTAAGTATGTAATATCAATTTCGAATGCAACACCGAAACGTACGTTAATATATTTCCCGAATTAGTCGTTAACAAATACGAATAAGCTTAATGTAGAAGAGTAATCATAGGAATTATGATAATAATTACATTAAAAAAATTATGTAATTATTAGATTGTGGAAGGGCCTTGAAGATGAACTGGTGGGGATGAGAACTTAATGACGGTAAATTTAAAGCTCCGCACATGGTTCGAAATCTTATAAAATAACTCGTCAAAAGATATGCTATTAGCAACAAATTATGGCTGAGAGAAAAATTTAAACTCAATCACGGAAAGGCACAGTAGGTACCTTATTAATTAATATGCTAATAATATATTTGGTAAATTATATTAAAAGCTTACATTCTCTCCTGTGGTGTTGCACTATCATACGTAGAAAGTGTTAATTTACGTCGATCAAACATTCGTACAAACGGTTCATTTCCACCGATAGCAACCAACTCAGACTTTAATGGATTTACTGCAATACACTTAGCTTCGGCAAAAACGTTATCGTGAAATCGTAAATTGACTAATACGTTACATGGTTTATTTACAGAAGTCTTGTAAAAGATAAAAACATGGAAGATTATCTTAGTTATGATATTTTACAGATAGGTTATACTTTTAGATAAATCAGCTTCTTTCTTATTTAAATTAGTAATAGCACGAGTACCAGCTGGACGATTTAAAAACGAATTCCAACCACTTAGCCAAGTTAGAACACTTATTTACTTTAATCCGTATGAACATCTAAGTAGTATCATCTGTCTTTTACACAGCAGGTGTAGTTTCAATTCCTTTCTATAAAACTGTACTTCATTAAATACCAAAACAAATACAGGTACAAGTACAGTTTTATGTGCTAGGCTCAGGGCTACACTGATACTTCATCGAAAGTAACTGATAAAAGGAACGATATTTCATATACCCATGACATTGTACGCAAATGTTTTATGAAACGGTGCTATAATGTATGTATCATTACCAAGGTTTGGCTTCATGCACCGTTGTACTATTTAAACTTGGATTAATTTTGATTTGGTTATTTATTATCTGAAGAAGTGGCTTACACTAAGTCACAAAACATCAAAAAACCTAATTTTTCTACTTATTGGGATATTACAAATATATCATTTATTTAGTACTATAATGTGTTCTCATCAATGTTACTTCATTAAAAATTAAAGGTGATTTTCAAGTAACCAAATGTTCATAACTTGTTTAGATTGGACAATAAATGGTAGAGAATTGATATTCAGTTGGTTATTTGTATACACGATTTTTAAACCAATACAAAATCAGAGTAAAACTGAATTAATAAACTTGATAGTATCAAAACATCGTGAAAACTTAGAACAGAACCGAAGTAAGCTAAAATAATGGGCAAGACAGTTTAGAATCAATAAAAACATGATTCTATGTGACGTATGTCAGCGATCAGTTGCTTAGTCTACTGGCATTCTCTACACAGCTCCTATGCCATTTGTAAATGCACCTTGCAATTTGTGATAAAATACAGTTCACTCACTTTTATGTGCAGATATGTAAGGTGATTAACTAATTTGCTTTTCTAATCTAAAGTTATGCATTTACGCTCAATATTGTCAACTTGAATTTTATAGAGCAAGTTTAAGAATTTTTATATCAGCGGTATATCAAAACAAACAGATCTTCGTACAAAATCCTCGACTGTTGATAAAAACTGGGATATCTCTGTTTGATAAGTAAATCTATTTGCTTATCCATGTATCTCTCAAGTGTAAAGGAAAACTTTTATTGAAAATATGGTTATTTTTTATTCTTACTGTGACGCTTAAATACACAGATTACATCATTTAAGCATCGGCTAAGTGAATCTGTATTCAATATTTTTTAATTCTTTATCTTTTTAAAATCAATCTTGAGAAATAAAAAACATACCTGATCAGGATCTCGTAGGTCAAACTGTCTACAGGTTCCATCTTCCGAGGCTGACCAAAATAAGAATGGTTCAGATGGAGTATTCGCCAATCGTTTAACGCGACCTGAATGACAAGAAAATACGTGCCGCGTTTCTAATGCTTTAATGTCATGTACACGAATTTTGTTATCAGCTGCACCCGTTACAATGAGATTCTCCTATGAAAACAAGATGATTATGAGTTTTCAATAACAACAAAAACGATAGTACTCACATTCAGACTAGATAAGAATTTAACAGAAAATATATTCGCCATATGACCAGTGTTCATTGTTAAAAGAGATTTACGTTCAAATGGATCCCAGATAATTAGACGTCGATCATCTGAACCACTAGCAAGATAGGAACCACGCTCATTCCATTCTAAGCAGTTAACACAACCATGATGACCCTAAAAAATTATAAAATAAAAATTGATACTTACCTGAAGGCTAGTTTCTAAACCTAGTCTATTGACTAGGTGTTGATTGATTTGTTGACATCTCACATAATTAACTGGACTTAAGACCTAAACAATAATGAAGAAAATGCAGATTACGTAGTTGGAGAGAAAAACTGGGAACTTCGAATTTAGGTAACTAGTATAAAATCCATACAAAAACTTATTTTAATTTTCAGTCTCGCGCAGATTCGAGAATTGAGTAATATCAACTGTTTGGTGGTTAAAAGAATATTTGTTTAGAGTGAGGCCGAATCTATGGGTTTATGGAACTGTCTGAACAGCTCGGTTAATAAAGTGCAAGACGGCTAGTTCGAGATAGATAAATATGATAACTTGTACAATACTCCGCGATTAAACTAATGACTTACTGAATGATAACCGATATAATTTGACTAATCTCTGGTAGAGGTCATGTAAAATCAATGTTTCCGACATTTTGCTAATGAGTATTAACATGACTGAAGCTCATTCTAAGGACATAGTGTTCATCGACTCCAACCGTAAAATATATTGCTCTTTGTTCTAATGGTCCGAAATTAAGAAAAATCGAGCCAGTTTACTTAAGTGATAAGCTTTATGTTTTAGTTTGCTTAAAACGTATATTTATACACAAAATGAGTAAATAGTCTACAAAAAAGACTTTATGAAACTATTCAGTTCAATGAACTTTTATAAACACATTTTGTATGTTGTGTTGTCTGTGTTAACATAACTTCCAGAAGAACCCTTCCACGGTGTGGGCAACTGGGAAGTGATAACTACCCTCATACCTCTAACAGTACTAAAGATCACTGTATTCATGATCAATCTCCCTCTTCAATTCCTATTATTTCTCCTACCTCGACTTTCAACTCTAATCTTCCTCCTCAAGTGTCAGTCAGTCAGTCAGTAACAACGTGGAACTTCGTACGTACGTACATCAGTTCGAGTTGCCATACCACATTAGCACAGAGATTCAGTTATCGATTCAAATCCCATAGTGGTAGAGGTACTGAAAGTATAAGTAGAGATAGGGGACATTAAGGTTTAATGATGTTATTAAAGGAGTATAGTCCAGTGGAATAAATTGGGAAAGAAAATAAAAGACATGAAGAATTCAGAAGATTCGAGTTTGAGAGAACACAAAGAGTGGATGCACCTGCGCCATCGCAAACGATTTTGAGCCATGTCATTCAAGGTCTCTAACCATCGGTTGCTATCGTCTCGCGGTCCCCAACCAGGTAGTCTACACCTACCAACATGACTCAGTCCACTTGTCAGTGACTTCATAGATTTCTGCCATGTTTTGGTCTGGCCGCCCCTAACTTTCTCCCAACCTACTCCTACACCAGAAAACATCACACGTCAGGGCAGTCGGTGGTCGGGCATGCACAACACATGTCCCAGCCATCTCAACTGATTAAGTTTCACTACTTCATCAATTGATTTGCCATCCTTACCTAGTACCCGTTTCATAACAACTGCATTAGTTACTCGGTGGTCCCAGGATATACGAGCAATGTTTCGAAGACATCTATGATCAAATACTAGTAACCTACGAATATCCTCTACTCTTACCGGCCATGTTTCACTGCCATAAAGTAGGACGGAACGAACTGCTGCGCAGTAAACACGTCCTTTGGTTGATATACGGATATCTCGCCTACGCCACAAATGACGCAAGTTGGCAAAAGCTAGTCGAGCCTTCTGCATCCGTGCTGAGATTTCGTCACACACCAGACCACAAGGGCTGATGAGACTTCCGAGATAAGTGAAGCGGTCGACACGCTCAACTACTTCACTCCCTATCACTAGTTCGGGTGTCGACGCAACCCAATCCTGAAGCAACATTTTGCATTTCGAGGGAGAAAATCGCATCCCGAACATGCCTGTATTGTTGTTTAGAGTGATCAGCAGACTCTGCATTTTGTCAGCGTCTTCACTAAATAGAACTATGTCATCGGCATACTCTAAGTCAACAAGTGGATCTCCCGGTAGAAGTTCAACTCCTGGGAATTTAGATGAGGAAAGTGTCATCTCTAAAAGGACGTCAACGACAAAGTTAAACAAGAATGGAGAGAGTGGACAGCCCTGACGAACACCACTTGAGGTAATCAATTCTGATGACAGTTCACTATAAGCTCTCACTAGACCAGTTGTGTTCGAGTAGAGAGTCTTTATAAGGTTAATGTACTTCTTTGGTACTCCCTTCAGCGACAAACATTGCCATAGAACCTCACGATCAACTGAGTCAAATGCCGCCTTAAGGTCGAGAAATACTACCATTGTGGGGCGTCTGAATGTGTGTCTATGTTCTAGGACCTGACGTAATGTGAATATTTGATCAATACAACCACGTCCAGGTCGAAAACCAGCCTGGTTTTCTCTAGTCTGCTCTTCACGAGCTTTGGTTAGACGTCGAAGTATTATTGAAGCTAATATTTTAGACACTATATTAGTCAAACTAATTCCTCTGTGATTGTCACAGGAGGACTTTTGTCCTTTCTTATAGACTGGCACAATCAGTGATTGAGACCAGTCAGATGGGATTACGTCCAGTTCCCAGATTCTACCTAAGACCTCAGTCAATCTCGCTGCTAATACTGGACCGCCATCCTTAAAAATCTAAGGGGTAAACCTGTCAGGGCCTGCTGCTCTCCCACGCTTCAGATTTCCTATAGCTTTTTCAACTTCGTAAAGAGTCGGAGGACTTACATCAACTTGCCATTCAGGTCGACTGGATATCATGGGAAACCGAAGTGTGGCTGAAGGCCAGTTGAACTGATCCCTAAAGTGTTCTGCCCATCGATCCAATCTCCTGGATTGAGAATGAATAATATGTCCATCTTTCTCTGCGATTGTTTCGCTAACAGTTGGGTTCCCAATATCGGTTTCCTTAACAAGTCTGAACAGTTGTCTGCTGTTATCGAGTGCCGCTGCCTTTTCCATCTCTTAATTCTGCTACCCACCAGTGTTCGCGATCATTTCGTAGGCTTATTATCAGCCTGCGCTTAAGCTGACTCCGCTCTTCGTTATGTTCAGAGCCAGATGGAATGAGTTTTCGAGCATCTATCAGTGCGGTAGACGCTGCTGAGATCCAGTGCTTCTCTCTAACCTTATGGTTTACCGTACTTGCAGACATCACTGTTGTTTCTACAGCTTTTCGGATGTCATTCCACGCTGCCTCGGGGTGGGCATCACTTACATGGCTGTCTAACTTTTTTTTTAGATGTTCCTGAAATATATTCTTAGCTTGACTATCATTAAGTAGGACCCTAAGGGTTTTCCTTGCAGCATGTTTCCTACGTCCAGTAAGACGTAGATAAAATACGCGCTCGCACTAGAGCATGATCTGAGTCTAAGCATGTGCTCCAGAATGAGTGACAGTCTTCTATCGAGCCCCTCCATCGGTGTCTGATAGCGATGTGATCTATTTGGGTCCAGCGTTGAGACGAATTAGGGGGTCTCCATATTAAAAGATGTTTTTCCTTATGCTTAAAGTTAGTGTTTGCAAGAAACAGGCGGTTATCTGAGCATAGCTGCAACAGACGGTCGCCGTTATCTGTTCTTTGAGCCGCGACACCATAAGATCCACCCAGGTGTCTTTCCCTTTCGCATAGTTTACCTACTTGAGCATTAAAGTCACCAGCCACTATTACTACATCTGAACGCCTAGCTTTTCGTAGAAGATAGGAAAGCTTTCTGTAAAACTCATCTTTTACATCATCTGAGCTGCAGTCAGTGGGAGAGTAGGCAGAGACAACAAAGAGGCAACGACGAGTGTACCTATCTTTTCGAATCCTTACTGTTCCGTTTAGTCGGACAGTACACAAACGACTGTCTACTGGGATCCAGTCTAAGAGAGCTAGTTCTGCCCTAGGACTCAATGCTATACCTACGCCAGCGAGGCCACGGGATGCAGCATCAGGGCTTCCAGATACACGAAGCGTAAATCGAGTTGGCTCGTTAATTTGACATGGTGCGGTCAAATGAATGACACTACTAGGATCCTATGTGCGCGTTTCGGAGACGCAGCACACATCGATGGAGCGAGATTCTAAAGTCTTAGCTAAGGAAGCCTGTTGTCCTATTTGGCACAGTGTTCGGACGTTGAAAGCTCCTACGTGTAGTTTAGAGCGTGGTTTCAGGAGACCAGGAATAACATTCCGCGTACTCGAATCGTTCGCACTAGCGGGACGAGGTGATAAAGGGACGTAAGAAGGGTTAGTCGTGGAGATAAGAGAGTTATTAGGTGTAGGAAGGGTTTGAATTTGACCAACTTCGTCTCGTGTGCTGTTACGGGTATGTGGGCTGATGACACTTCCCGGTTGCCCACACCGTGGAAGGGTATTTCTTGAGGAACCTGAAAAGAAAATCGGATTAGCGTTGGTCTTAACGACCCGGGTGCGTGACCGCAGAGCCCAAGGGACAACTGCTTGAGGCCGGTCGCGCACGGCCTTTTTGTGGGAGGTTTTTGCCCCCAAATGTCCTGGTATGGCCGAGAGTGGGGAGAGTCCGCTCACCCTCTCGAAATGCTCTCATATGGCCACGCGTATACAGCCCCTGCCAGGGAAGTCCTACTCACTGCCTTCTCGTGGCGGGGGTGTTGTTTACGAAAATGAGAGGACGAAAAGCGAATTTCCGGCGCCTTAACCGGATCCCAAACCAATGGTGCACATGGGCTCCAGTATCCTGCGGGAACAAATGGCGTATGAACCAATCGTTGGTCACCGGCTACCATGGGACTGCATCTCCTCACGATGCTCCACTGCCTTGTGGATCAGATCTTCAGGTCAAAGGCTCGGGGTGTGGCCCCCTAAGAAAACCACCTGCTTCGGTTTGGGCACCCGAGCAGTATAACAGCCCTCACACATATCAAATGAGATATGTGTGGCGCATATGTATTTGGTGCCTTCATGTACCGATATCTATGTGTTAAAATAAATAATGTATTTGGTTGGGAGGTTTTTAATGTGTTAGCTCCGTTCTTCAAAGGGCCTTACCGCCGGAGACGGAAATCCGTGGGGTAAGGTGAGGTGTGACATTTTTAGGGTCAACCTTTTCTAACCCCTTCCTTCCTTGTGAGAAGGCAGCATCGCTGCAGATGCTGGTTGTCCGAGGGAAACACCTTACTGCTGTCACACCTCTGTACAGTCAGCAGTACAACTTCGCCCTCAGACCTTGAGTTGCTGCTTTTAGTCTTACCGTTCTCCAATCGACCTGCCTGGCATGGTAGAACCTGCAGGAACATGTGTTCCAGCCAATATAGCTCGGTTGGGTCATCACGATAGGCAAGCCCGACGACCATGTCAAGGTAGCAGCTACGGTCTGTTCTATTGAGCAAAACACTGTCCCAGGTCTACTGAAACCTCGCTCAAAACTACATATTGGAGCCTTCAACGTACACACCCTATGCCAAATCGGTCAGCAGGCCTCCTTGGCTAAAACCCTAGAATCTCGTACTATTGATGTATGATGTGCCTCCGAAACACACATACAGGATCTTAGTGTGGTCATTCATTTGACCTCACCTCGCCAAAACGGAGAGCCTACGAAATACACCTTCCCTGTATCTAGCGACCCGATGGAGAGTACTCGTGGACTGGCAGGTGTAGGCATAGCACTAAGTACAAGGGCAGGAAAAGCACTATTAGAGTGGATCCCCGTTAACAGTCGCCTATGTGCTGTTCGTCTAAACAGCTCTGTAAGAACTCGCTCCCACTGACTGCAGTTCGGATGAAGTGAAAGATGACTTTTACATAAAGCTTTCTGAACTTCTTCATACAGCTAAACGCTCACACATAGTACCCGTAGCTGGTGACTTTAATGCCCAGATAGGTAGCTTAAACCAAACGGAAAGACATTTAGGTGAGTGCTTTAGTATTCTCGCTTAGCGAACAGATGGTGGTGACTGTCTACTGCAGTCTTACTCTGACAATCTTTTATTTTTAGCAAGTACTAATTTTAAACATAAGGAGAGACACCGTCTAACATGGCGACCCCCTGCACCAACTCAACGATGGACTCAAATAGACCATATTGCCACCAGTCATCGTTGAAGAGGCTCGACAGAAGATTGTCGATCATTCTGGAATACCTGCTTGGACTCCGATCATGCTCTAATACGGGCACGCATTTGCTTGCGCCTCACTGGATTGGCTCCAGAGGTCTTTAAGTATAGTGGTCCAGTCTTAGCGATTAGTTTGACTAAAATCTGGGAACTGGACGTAATCCCATTTGACTGGTCCCAAAATATAAGAAAGGATCAAAATCATTCTGTGATAACCATAGAGGGATTAGTTTGACTAATATAGCATCTAAAGTACTAGCCTCAATAATTATCAGACGCTTAACAAAGAATCATGAACTACAAACACAATAAAATCAGGCTGGCTTCAGACATGGTCGTGGCTGCATCGACCACATATTCACCACTCGTTAGGTTCTAGAACACAGGCATGCTTATCGGCGTCCGACAATGATAGTCTTTCTTGACTTAAAAGCAGCATTTGACTCTGTTGACCAAGAGGTTCTGTGCCAATGCCTGTCATTGAAAGGCGTACCTCAGCAATACATAAACCTTGTGAAGGCTCTTTACTCGAACACTACTAATCGAGTGAGAGCTTATGGCGAACTGTCATCTGATTTTGCAACCTCAAGTGGTATCCATCAAGACTGTCCACTATCTTCATCATAGACCTACTGATGGGAATAACGTTCTGGTCGACTGAATTCTCGGGCATTGATCTCCTTCCAGGAGGTCCACTTATCGACTTTGAATACGCAGATGACATAGTCCTGTTTGGTGAAGACGCTGATAAAATACAGTCCTTTGGCAGCACTAAACAACAATGACGGGATGTTTGGGATGCATTGCTCTCCCTCTAAATGCAAATTGCTGCTACAGGACTCTCCATCCTTGTTGCTTTCGTAACCCACCACTGTTCGCAATCATTGCGTAAGCTTCTTATCAGCCTGCGCTTCAGCAGACTCCGCTCTTCATCATGTTCACAGCCTGATTGGATGAGTTTTCGATCATCTGACACTGGTAGATGCTGCTGAGATCCAGTATTTTCCCCTAACCTTGTGGTTTACCTTATTGTCTCGATCGTTGATCGTCCCAGTTCATTAGAAAAAGCAAAAATCCTCTTGTGACAATCACAAAGGAATCAGTTTAGCTTATAGTGTCTAAAATAATACTTCGACGTCTAGCTAGAGCTAATGAGGAGCGAACCCGAGTAAACTGGTCTGGTTTCAGATTTGAACGTTAATGTGTGTACTAACTATTCACCATCCAGCAGATTCTGAAACATAAACATACTTTGTGACGTTCAACTGTAGGTGTACCCCTTAACCGTAAGACAGCATTCGACTCTGTTAATCGCGAGGAGATTCACTTGTTGACTTACAATACCCAGGTGATATTGTTCTGTTTGGTGAAGACACAGACAAAATACAATCCTCCAACCACCTCAAGCAACAATTTATACATGTTTGGAATGCGGTTCTCTCCCTCGAAATGTAGAATGTCACTTCAGGATGGACTGAACTAATGATGGTGAGAGTAGTAGTTGAACGCATCGACTGCTTAACTTATCTTGGGTGTCTCGTTTGTCCTGAGGTCTGACGGAATCTCTGCACTGATTCGAAAAGCTTCATCGACTTTCGCCAACTTGCGTCACCTGTGGCGCAAGCGAGATATCCGTCTTTTAACAAAAGGGTGAGTTTACTGCTCAACGATTCGTTCTCTTCCACTGTATGGATGCGAAACACGGCTATTACGAGTAAAGGATATTTGTAGGTTACTGGTATTTGTGTCTTTTAAGTCCACAGAGTAGATAATGTCTGGGTAAGGAATAGAGCACAAGGCAAAGATGGCAAATCGATTCAAGAGATAGTAAACCTTCATCAACTGAGGTGGTTAGGACATGTGTTGCATATGTCCATCTACCACCTACCTTGATGGGCAATGTTTTTTGATGTAGTAGTAGGCTGAAAGAAAGCATAAAGGAATGCTGGAATTCAAGACTAGGAAGATAAATAGTAAATAAATCTGCGCCATTGTGAACGATTCTGAGGAATGTCACTTAAAGTCTTAAACCACTGGCCACGATTAGCATACGGACCTGAATCAGGTAGTTTGCATCTATCAACATGTCTCAGACAAACGGTCAATGACTTCATTAAATCGTACTTCATTAAATGATGAAACGCATCGACTTAGCCGCCTCTACACTTTTCGGAACTTACTACCGCTATGGGCTGCCTAGACTACCTTACTTAAGGTGGAGTTATGAAACGATTCCTTACAAGTCGGAATCATGGAAGTGACTTATCGGTCAAATCACTTGGGTTTTCACTATCCAATCATCTGTTTGGCGCAGTTTGATATATTGCAGTCTGAACAATCGGCATATATATTTATACTTGACTACTAAAATGTGCAAATTGAATTCGGAACTTAAGGTTTAGGAATAATTGCTGGAAGAGCAACTGTGGTGAGAGGATTATAAGTACAATCTTCTAAAGATACAAAACGACTTATGAACATTTCTGTGGTGTAAATGGTCGGAAACTAACGGGACGAAACCAGACCAATTTTTAAGAGAAAGAGGAAATTATCTGACCTAAGGGAATGAATGAATTAGGTTGCATATTCCCGCAGACATAAACATGAAAAGTGACTGCAAAATGACAAGGATGATCAAGTAATTTATCAATCGCAAGAACTACTAATCCGGAATCACGATCCTATATTTATGCATGGAATATGAAAGATTACAAGAACTAACCCCTCTAGAAAGACCTTCATATTGATGAAACATAGAATGTCTACTCATTTATACAAACCAAGCCTAATCAGTAAGGTAGCGTCGTCCTAGAATCCGCATCATTGAAATGTCAATAAAAAGATTACCAAATACTTTTCAATGTACAAATGACGAACTAGTGTAAATTAGTTAATCTCTTGGCCCTTACTTCTTGATGTTACGATGTATTCACATATATCTAGTTGCTTCTAATGTGGGTAGCCTAAAAACACGGCTGCGTTCATTCCACGGACCTCGATTGTCCACTGGCTAATATTTCAGTTTCAGTTTGGAAAAGACAGAGCGCTATGTGGCATGTGTTAGTCCGGCAGTACTGACCTCTCAGTTGGTCCAACGTCTTTTTGGAGAGTCGACAGAGCGAGCTTCAATCATTAGTTGAATTAATGAATTCCATTCGTTTCCTGAGTATAGATGAGTTTATTTGTCCTGTGAAGGTGGAATTACTATAACCAGCAGTTATCACGATATCAAACAGGAAATTGATTAGTTGTGACACGAAAAACTATAAAACCAAAATGTGGATGGGTAGAGATAACTTAATGATCAGAATAAATAAGTTGATTACGTAGAATATATGAACGGATAAAAATCTGAGAATAACAGATGGATAGAAACGACAGGAGACGAAGTAGGCAGGAATGGGCTGATGGTAATGTTGCTGTTAATAAATCCCAAAAATTAGTAACTCTGTAAGTCTTCTACATTGGATGCTGACCACATTAGTTTTAATAGACTCACCTAGCTGAAGGCGCTCGGTCATGCATCCGCACCAGATAACGAGTGGGAACGCCGTGCTCATCATCTTCTGCAATCGCTAGCCAGATTAGATCAGACGATACTCGATATATTGGTAGCCTATCAAATATATCTTCTAACCTCCTCACTTCGGACTTTTGATTTCACTTGGTGGGTATGATTCATGTTAGGTATTACCGGTTAAAGCGTTAACAAACCCCAAATACGTGTGGCATCTTCATTGGTGAGCTCGACGTGATCTGATACACCAAATTACAAACTGTGAGTCTGTTCCTTTTTGGGATTTAATATATCATTGCCTTATTTTAACTTTTTATGCATTGTGATATTTTTCCCAGTTCTTGATATATATATATATATATATTTCAAACGTTCGTTCTCGTACTTGATATTTCACCATGACTGAACAGACACTCAAGGTACTTAAGTTGAAGACTGTGTCTCCAACTTCGTTCCAACTAATGCCCTTCCGGCTAGACAACATCGAAGCCTGGTTCTGTTACGCAGAAGCCAACTTCTACGAGCACGGCGTGAACGACACACATGCACAATTCCTCGCAGTAGTCAAAGCATTACCGCGCGAATTCAACAGGTACTTAGCACCAAGTATATTTACTAGTGATGTTTACGAACTCTGCGTAACAGTTAACTTATCTATCCTTAAACGCAGAGATCCAAACGATTGACCAAGGTTAGACCAACTGCTTAAAATTATCGACTTGCAACGCGGTTCTGCGACAGACATGTTTCATAGAATGAGAGTGGTAATTAGCCAAAAGACTTTTGATGATGACCTATTCAGACATTTCTTATTTTAACTTCCTTAACAGGTGCAAGCTATATTGGTCTCGTTTCAAAACAACGCTATAGACAAGCTAGCTGCATCTGCCGACCGTATCCTTGAAATCACAAAATCTTTTAATGCCGAGGTTTTTTCAGTCAAAGAAAAACCTCAAACGACCCAGAATGATAATACATAGTTATTTCATACACTTACATGTTATCTTAAACTTCGTAACTACCGTAGACGGTCACACACCCCGAGAAGAAGCACTTCACGTAGGCGACCTGTCTCTAGACCAGGAAAGACGGATAACCCTAACTGGTGCTGGTATCATAATCTGTATGGAAAGTCCTCGAGAAATTGCTGAAAACTCTGCAATTTCCCCAACTCCAAATCGATCGACATTAAAAACTATTCGAGAAACTTCCAAGCAGGTAAGCGTTAGCGGCAACCGTAGCTGGTGAAGAAAGCCGTCTGTTATACTTCACAGATGTGATAACGAGAGTTCGCTACCTCGTCAATACTGACGCATAAGTTGGCGTTCTTCCAGAGAATTCTAACGCCTGACTTCATGAATCGGTTTTAGATCTACAGGTGGCAAACGGAAAGCCTATCGCTACATATGGTAAAAGGTACGTTTATCTTAACGTGAGTTTACGCAAACCCATTCACTGGATTTTTGTTGTTGCGGATGTTTCTATGCCAATCATTTGTATGAACCTCTTGCAACACCACAATCTAATCATTGATACGCGCAAACGGAGGCTAGTAGACGGAAACACTGAGTTATCTGATTGCGTAACTTCTTTTTCCGGTTGCCGATTATTTTCAGACATGACCAAGCACACAATAGACCTATTCTATCAACCACAACTCGATAAGTATTCTGGGATATATCACTCGCAACCAAAATTACCGTGTGTAACCATCACGACTACATAACCACCTGTATTCTCTAAAGCACGACGACTAGCTACCGAAAAGCTAAGGTTGGCGAAAAACGAATTTGACCACATGATAGGCTTAGGTATCATAAAACAACCCTAAACAGCCCGTGGGCATCTCCGTTGCACATGGTCCCTAAAAAAGGACAGCAACGTTTTGCGTCCAACTGGTGACAATCAGCGATTGAATGCAAAAACCATTCCCGCTCGTTACGCTTTGCCTCAAATTCACTATTTGACAGCTACTGTGAAAGGTACAACTGTCTTTTCGAAAATCGACTTGGTCAAAGGGTATAACAGAATCCCTATGGCTACTGGCGATATTCAGGAAACCGCTATTATAACTCCCTTCGGACTCGACGAGTTTTCGCAAATACCTTTCGGTCTAAGAAACGTTGCCCAAATTTTCCAAAACTTCACAGACGACTTTTTTCGAGGTCTCAACCTCGTACATGGGTATGTTGATGACTGCCTAACAGCAAGTCCGGACAGAGAATTCAATCTCCAGCATCTGTATCTTGTTTTCGACCGACTATAAAAACATGGCATTACGGTAAACATCCAGAAATGCCGAATCGGAACTGACTCATTGGACTTCCTAGGACACACTATCGATAGGCAAGGCATCCAGCCCCTTAGAAAAAAAAGTGTCAGCCATTCTGGATTACCAAGAACCGACCACCATCAAGTAATTACGCACGTTTAACGGCCTAATAAGTTTCCATAGACAGTTCACACGGAAATGCGCGCACTTCATGAAACCGTTAACGGACGAACTTCGTGGAAATGAGAAATCCATCAATCCGGACGACACAGCGCAAAAAGCATTCTCCACAGTTAAAGAACTTATCGCTCGAGCAACAATGCTTGCACATCAGGACACTTAAGCACCCATTAATATCGCAGTAGACGAATCCGACTGAGCAATCGGAGGAGTCTTATAACAACGGGTTAACCACTCCTGAAACCTTTCCATTTCACTCTAGACAGTTGTTACACACGTAATCGAGGTACAGCACATTCAGTAAGGAACTCCTAGCTATGTATTGTGCCGTGCGGCATTTTTAACACTCCATTGAAGGCCAAGAATTCATTGCTTTTACTGACCATAAGCCTCTTACTTTCTCTTTAAACTCCTCTTCAAACAAGTACTCACCACGGGAGTCTCGACAACTGGACTACATTTCGCAGTTTACTTCAGACATTCGACACATTTCTGGGTCAAACAATATTGTCTCAGACGCCTTGTCTCGCATAGCTTCTTTGAACAGTTTCTAAGGAATCGACCTTCTAAAACTCTCCCAGCTTCAAAAAGAAGACACTGATCTTCAACACGAGTTGTCCTCAACAACACTTAAACTGCGAATTAAACAGATGGGAACAGGTAAGGAAACCTTACTGTGTGACACATCTACAGGTAGGGATCGCCCAATCGTGCCGAAACAATATTGACGCAACGTCTTCAATATGTTGCACAAACTTTCCCATACAGATGTTCGTGCGACCATCAAGAACGATTTTACTGGCCTGTTATGAGTAAATACATGAGGGAGTGGGAACGCTCATGTGTAAGCTTCCAGAAATCTAAAGTTATTACACACAGCGAATGTCCCTTAGGCTCTTTCAAAGTTCCTGACGCTCGTTTCGACCATGTTCATCTGGATTCGATAGGACCTTTACCAGATTAAAATGGATACTCTTATCTCTTGACCTGCTTAGACCGTTTCACTCGACAGCCAGAAGCATTACCTATCAAGGACAATATTGCTGAAACAGTGGCCCACGCCTTCGTCTAACGATGGGTAGCAAACTTCGGCTGTCCTTCAACCATCACTACAGATCGTGGACGTCAGTCTGAATCTGAACTTTTCCGTTGTCTGACCGCAATATTAGGAATCACTCGCTTCCAAACGACGGCCTACCACCCACAAGCAAACGGGTTGGTAGAACGCTTTCGCCGACGACCAAAAGCTTCACTCTCAGCTGCGAACATCTGACAGTGGACTTACGCTCTTCCGCTCGTCTTACTGGGTATTCGCAACGCAGTGAAAGCTGACATTGGATACACTGTTGCTCAACTCGTTTATGGCACAACACTTTGACTTCCAGAAGAATTCGTGGATCCTTCATCCTCTTCGATGAACATAGATCTAACCTCCCACACGAACAGGCTTACAAACGCAGTGCGTTCAGTTAAACCTGTTTCCACTCGACCGCAATCAATTGATGTTTTCGTTCAACCTGACTTACGATATAGTACACACGTTTTCGTACGTCGAGACTCACATCGACGACCTCTCGAATCAGCGTATGAAGGATCTTTCAAAGTTCTTCAACATGAACCTAAGTACTATATAATAGGTAAGAACGGAACCAACGATAGCATCAGCATCGATCGCCTCAAAGCAGCGTATTTAGAAGGAAACCCTATTCACGTCTATTTTTCTTCAGTACAATCGCACAGCACAACTCAAAAACCTCATCCAACAGATAACACGCACGTTGATACTTCGGCAGTATCTGGAAATAAAATTAAAAACAACGCGTTCTGGGAGAAGAATAAGATTTCCAGAACAATTGAACGATTACTG